CAAATGTGAAGAATGTGGCAAAGCTTTTAACCGCTTATCAACCCTTACTAAACATAAGAGAATTCATAGTAGAGAGAAACCCTACAAATGTGAAGAATGTGGAAAAGCATTTAATCACTCCTCAGTCCTTAATAACCATAAGATAATTCATACTGGAGAGAAACCCTTCAAATGTGAAGAATGTGGCAAAGCTTTTAACCAGCCGTCAACCCTTACTAAACATAAAAGAATTCATAGTGGAGAGAAACCCTACAAATGTGAACAATGTGGGAAAGCTTTTAAGCAGTCATCAACCCTTATTAAACATAAGCGAATTCATAGTGGAGAGAAACCCTTCAAATGTGAAGAATGTGACAAAGCATTTTGTGACTCCTCATCCCTTACTACACATAAGAGAATTCATAGTGGAGAAAAACCCTTCAAATATGAAGAATGTAGCAAAGCTTTTAACCACCCATCAACCCTTACTAAACATTAGAGAATTCATCATGGAGATACTCCCTTCGAATGTGAAGAATGTGGGAAAGTTTTTAACCAGCCAACAAATCTTAGTGTACATAAGAGAATTAATGCTGGAGAGAAGCCTTACAAATGTGAAGAATGTGGAAAATATTTTAACTATTTCTTGAACCTTACTAGACATAAAAGAATTCATACTGGATAGCAGCCTTACACATGTGAAGAATGTGGCAAAGCCTTTAACTGGTCCTCAATCCTTATTACACATAAGGCAACTCATACTGCAGAGAAACCCTACAAATGTAAACAGTGGGGCAAAGGCTTTGGTGTATTCTCAGCCTTTACTTAACATAAGAATTAATGCTGAAGAGAAACCCTGTACAAAAGTGAAGAATGTGGCAAAGGCTTTTGTGAATCCTCAGCCCTTAGTAAACATAAAAGAATTCATACTGAAGCATGTGGGAAAGCTTTTTACCAGTCCTTAACCCTTACTAACCATAAGCAACTTCACACTGTAGAGAAACCCTACACTTGTGATGAATGTGGGAAAGTTTTTAACTGGTCCTTAAGCCTTACAAAACAT